CGGATACAGAAAAACGGGTATCCGGATATCCGGGTCCAAACTCTACGTACAATACCTTTTTTGGAATAGAAATTTTTTTGCGTCACCCGTGCAAACTACTATCGCGCGTACAATTTGAATACAGTACAATAAATACTATCTAAGTGCACACCTTCTGGGAAATTCATTTAGAGAACAGTGCGTTTAAAGATTTACACACAGTAATGATGTCTTTATATTATTAACCAATTCTTTATATTTTTCGCCCCAGTCATAAACGGAAAGAGTATTTTGTTATTTTATTTAAATGCTTTCGTTTTATTGAAAACATTATTTTTTAAACTTTCAGTCAATTTAAAGAAGTACGTACTCTTTTAATATCAGAACAGATATTATGTTGATCTTCAGTATATTAATATTTAAAATTTACGTAAACATTTACATTTGTTACCGTCCGTCAGTCGTTAAATCTGAAGATCGTACAGATCTTAATCCATTATGCCCAACGTAATACGGTATTTTATTAGCCGATTAAAATAGTTTGCGCTTAGAGTGTGTGCACTCAAAGAGTGTCCACTGTACTACTTTATTTTACTCAGAGATTGTGCATGACCAAAAGCCGCCTAAAACCTCGTACTGATAATCCGCGATTCGATTCTATGTTTTACATGCAAGTATGATTAAGTTATTTTGTCAAATTTTATATTTGATCATTTTCTTGATTTCTTCAGTGAAATCACATTATAATACTGTGGCTTCGCGTACAATAAATGGAAAAGATCACTTTCTAATAAATAAAGCTTATTCTTATGATAACGGCACTTTGCTAATTGGAGAAGTTAGAGCAATTACTGGTTCAAGCTATTTTAATTATAGTAAAATACACACAATTTTCACAAATGGAACAAATAAAACCATCGATTTCAATAATATGACTTATGGTGGAAGTTTGCTAAATATTACTTGATTTGAGTTGGTTAGTTATTGATTGGTCAGAAAATTTTTTATCCGAGTAAGTGCATTAGCTTATCAATAGTCATTTTTTAAGCAATCTATAATCTATATCTATATCTATATCTATAATCTATATCTATAATCTATATCTATATAATAAAAATATTTGTGTGTAACGATAACGTTTAGATTAGTGATTTAAGCCGTAAGGTTTTAGTCGGCTGGCTAAAATACCATACTTCCGGAAAATTTCGGTAAATTTAGCTTGTATTTATGTTCCTTTTCGGAATTTATCAGAATCCTACTATATACTCATCTTTAGCCGCATTAGCCAGCCGATCATATTACATTGGCTGGCTTAGCCGCGGCTGCCATAGCTGGCTTAAATCACTAGTTTAGATTACTAATATAAATAATTTAATTAAATTGTGTAACATTAAATCTGTTATTCTGATTCGTCAATAAATTCTTTAAATTTATACAAGATCGGCAAAGTCATTGTTACACAAAGTATTGATTTGTTAATCTTTATGTTTAGATCACATATCTCAATAACTACTGGCTCGATTTTGATGATCTAACTACCATTTGACTCAGAATTATCTCCTCTACAACTCTTCAAAATATACAAAAAGTAGTTTTTTGTAATTATCTTGACAACCAGTAGTCCAATCTAGATAAAATTTTTTTAAATAAAAGCTCTCAGTGAGGCACATCTGATAAAAAAGAGTTTATTTAATTCTAATTACTAGATTCTAAAATATTTAAAAAACAATAAATTTTTAATTTTAATAAATTAAATTAAAATTAAGCAAAACCAAATTATAATCTATATTAGAGATAAAATTATTTAAATTAATTTGCTTTAGATTTAAATTTTTATTTTATTTTATATTAAATTTTTTCCATTTATTGCATGGGTTTATAGCTTATTATAAAAGTTTACTATATATTTATTTTATTTAAAATTATATTTAAAAATTTTATAAATTTATTCCAGTGTATTATTGCACAGGTTTATAACTAGTAGCAATTAATAATAATTTATATAGATAGCTTATTTTGGGGTAAAAGAAATTTTAATATTTTTTGGCAAAAATAAGAGGGTAGCTTATTTTAGAAAGTAGCTTATTATAGAAAAAATACAGTATATCTTCAAGCTGTTAATGTAGTTATGAATATTCTATCTATGCAGCAGTATATTCAGAAAGGGCACTTAATTCCCATTATTGCTGATTGGCCTAAACAGATTCATCTTCATACTGCAATATCATGTTATTTATTTAATCATAATTTACCAAATATTAACAACTTAATATTATTTTTTCTTATTCTCTCCATATTTCGCTTAATAGTTGTGAATTAGTATTTCTTAAATATCAGCTTTTTTTTAACTATATATAGTTATATATTTAAAGAATAGAAAATATTTTCACAAAACCCAAGCTATGGTATATTAATCTTTTTTTGAAAATTTCACATAGTGCTTGGTAAGAGGTTTCTATAACTGTCAAGACAAAATTTAGTTTTTTGTATAAAGATGCCAAATATCTTATATTTAAAGACCTTCTCAATAATATGATTCTACTTGTTTTTGATATTTATATAGTACTCTTCTAATCTAGAGATTTTGAAACATATTTTAAATTTTGCTTTCATGTTTGGGCAATTTTTCTTAAATTTAGCCACAGAAACTATACTAAAGCATCACTAATATTTCTTTTTGGCATATTGTACTGGAAATTAAATCAACATCTATTTTTAGAAATGATAAAAGCCAAACTTCCAAAATTCTTGAATTTAACTATTGAAATATTTACAGTTTTTTGTGTAAAGGTACCCAGAAGCACACAGATGCGGATCAGTTTATTAAATATAGCATTATATTAATCGGCTACATTTGGATAGCAGTGAGTTTAGAGAAAATTTCACACATACATCTTCTTGAACAAAATATAAGTATTCTGTATGAGATATAACACAATTAACAAAAAAAAGTACTTGTTTTTTTTTCAGATATGTGTTTCATTATAATTTACTAATTTTGTTTCTATTACAGACATATCCATTATCTTCTAAGAGAAAACATAAAAAAAATTTTAGAACTTTTTTTCTAACTGCGATGAATATGCCAGAAGCACAACTTTGGCATCTTTTCTTGGGTTTTAGTACTTTATATCAGCCCAATCTACTTTTTTACTGTGATGCATCTAACTGTATTTTTTTGCCATCTAATAATACAGATTCTATCAAAGTTCTATTCTGTGATCATACATATCATAAGTAAAGTTTTTATTATACTAGTATAATAGAAATAGTAGTATAATACCAGATATAATACTATATAATAATGTATAATACAGTATTACCAATATTTTGCTTCTATAGTTTATTATGGTTGGAATCTTTCAAAAATTTCTAAAAATTAGCTTGTTTAAATCGAAAATCTTCGTGTCCTCAAATAAACCAATTTAATTGGCTAAACTATTTTTAATATGGTATTATACATATACAACTACCCTAGTAGCACTAATAGATTTTCACTTGATCGACACCAATCAGATTTAATTAAAACAATGACTTTTAAAATAATAAAACATTATACTAGACTTAGGTTTTGATCTTATAATCACATCAAAGCTTTTTTTATACCAAAATTTGGCAAGGAATTTTTTTTACTAATGCACAGTAAGTAGTTTCATATATAAAATTTTGAGTTATTTGCTATTTTTTAAAATTTTTTAAAAAACGCATGATTTTCACGTTACACCTGATCTTAAAATCTAATTGGTCAATTTATGTCGATCAGTGAAAATCTGTCGGTGCTACTGGGGTAGTTGTTGCCTACCGGCCTCGGGACCGTTGCAAGTTGCTGACTGCCTGGATGCGGGCGACCGAACTCGAAACTAATGACATTTCAGGACAAATTATTTTTTTTTCAAAATTTATTTTTATGCACTATTGTATAAAAATAATCCACTCAAATTAATAAATATTTACTATTTGACTTCATTTTATTCGTACTAATTTATCTTGTAAGAACATTTATTAGCCAAGTATTTACATGTGCATATAATGAGCTATTCAATTTTATGAACATTTACTCGTAATATATGTATAGGAAATATCATGAAATAGAGCATGAATACTGGAGAATTCGGGATATATGTATCTAATATAAATACAGTGATTCGACTTAGCGATTTTTAAATATCAACTTAATTGAGTCGGTAAATTTATGTCGACTACAAACACCATATATTTGCTATTTATAATTCTTATTTTTAATATACAGTAAATGTATTAAAAAATTTCGTATAAACAAATAATTCCAAAATTGAAAATTGTTTTTATTTAAAGATTGCTTCTAATCAGTAATATACAGTATATATGTAAAAGTTAGATGCTAAATATTTTTACTTAATAAATTAAATCAAATTGTACTAAATTGTAAGCTATTAGCATTTTTTTTTTTTTTGTGCAATATGTTCAGTCCATACACTTAGTCTATTTATCTATCGATTTTAATCGAAGTTTGAAGGTGTATTGGATTTTGATTCAACTTTGGTGCGGTATCACGGCGGAGGATTGGATTTTTATTTAATACCCAAATTTAACTGTAAACTGATTTTGTATTCTTATTAGGTTTAGATCTAAATAAAAGGACCAATTCGCTGATTGCAATAAGTCACATGAAAATAAACCTTTATTAAGGTGTCAGAGATATAAAACGTATCAAACGCTTAATCAAGAATATATAGAAGTCTACCTTTATTAGATGGAAATACGCACTCCTGTTATACATTTTCTTTAGCTACAAAATTTATTTATTCTTTTTCTCATTTTTTCGTGACGATGCCACTACTGCATGTAGGATTTTCATCAATCAATATCTTCAAAGCTTCTACATCATCTTTCTTTTCTTCTTCTTCCTTTGCATTTTTAAGTTTCGCATCTTTTTTAACCGGTTTGTTAAAATGAAGTAAATAATGATGCCTGGCAGTTCTCAAAGCAAACCATTTGTTTACCTAATATGTAGTTATTGTATAGGTTAAATAATGATGATATTATTCAAATTTAAACCATCTAAAACAAAAACGATTAATTACCCAGCATTTTTCTTTTAGTTCCTTTTCTTCCACAGTATCTGATGAATCCACGATAAACCCTATTTCTGGCTATATAAGCCACGAATCAAATGTTATTATTAAGAACTTAGAAATAAACAAAAAATTATAAGATGACATGACTATAACTTACTGGATATCCGTCCTGCTTTATTCGTTCATATATATCAAGAAAATCTGGCGCTACTATCTTACGGGAAGTATCTGCCATGAATTCTTCATCATTATCATTTCTCGTCCAAAATTCAGAAAGTTTGTTTGTACCCGTTTTATTTTCGAGAGGTTCCATAGGCTTACTCATCTTAGCCTTTCTCTTCAAAGCTTCGGCAAAATCTTCACGCGCTCTTTCGGCTCTATCCTTCATCACTTTCTCAGATCCAAAAGAACAATTATCGGCAAATTTCCAATAATTCCATCGCTTTTCCATGTTAAGTATATGTAGTATTGTACGAACAAAATTTTTTCCATTGGGTGTTGTTTCTTCAAGTTGTCCAATGACTTTATTCCATATTTCTTGGATCATATGTTGCTATTATTTCGTAAAATCAGAATCTAATGTGATATATGTCTCGTAACGATAATTTATATGATGACTAACTTGTGGTTCCATGATAGTATAAGTAGGTAATTGAACTGCAGCAGCATCGTGGGGTGCTTTCGCTTTGTTGATACGAGCCTGTTCCTCAGGGAAAAATCCTGTGAGATATTGCATTATAATAAGAGTTTGCACTAATACAATTCTTCGGAAGTTTGGATCGGATATCTTTAAAAGTAAAGATATTATAGTTGTTATTATTAATATATGAACTAATTATATAAACAAAATTTTAAACAGTAAAATATTTGTACCTCCTTATCGAATAATGCGAAACTCGATAAATATTTAGGGAAATATTTAACGTAATCCTTAGCAAAAGTTATTGACTCATCATCATCAGTTTCTATAAATTTTCTTTTTTTTCCACATCCATCATCACTTGGAGGAGACGGAAGTCCAAATTCAAAATCATTATTTCGATTTCCTCCTAAATTCTCTTCAGCAGTCTTGAGTTTCTCACGGGCAATAATATCGGCAAACCTGTTTAAAACGATGCCAATATTCTTTTGGCCATAATCCATTTAAGTCACGAAGGTAGCCATAAATGACGAAACTTGACCATATTTAACTAAATTATTTATGCTTTTATCTTACATTAAGAACAACTTCTAAATTATTGTCTTTAAACAATTTTGGGGGATTGCTAAAATAAGCTTGAAGACCCCAAAAAATGTTATAAAATGCGGCTTCTTCTCCTATAATATATATATAATCAGGTACTCGTCAACAAAAAAACAAATATGTCCATAAATAAATAATTTTATACCATTTTGTGATGCACTATAATGCGTAACATTATCAACATTACATTCACCCCCTTTGTTGACACCTATCAAAAACGAAAATGTTAACATATGAAAATTGAAACATTAAAATAACTATATTCAAGATGTTTTGAAGGAACACTTTATACATGCCTGAAACTTCACCAAGTGCGTAGGTATTCGACAAAAATATTAATATTCTGCCACGGAATGCATTATGATTTGACTTGGATGCTCTACGTATTAGTTCGTTCGAAAGTCTTAATAGGATTAGACCCTTTCCTTGTGTTGGTATCAAATTCTTGTAGAACGAATAGTCAAAATAGATCCAATTATTGATAATGGAACTTTATAAATTGATGTAATTAAGTTTAAATTCAAATTTTGGCATACCACAAGCAGCCTTTTCTTATTTGTTTCCAGGAAGCTATATAGTTTTTCGCAGACTTCAAGAGGTTGTGTTTCCATCAATTCTTCCAAGATCGTCAAAGTAATAGCTTGTTCACATAGAGCTAAGGTAAAAGCAGTATTTATTTAGTAATCAACTATAATATATTTATTAATAAGTTTGAGTTCACTTACAACTCTCAGCTTCATGACACCCTAATACGAGATTCAGTAGTCTAAATGCGGCTGGTATAAGACGATCAGGTGGATATGTCTAAGATTAACAAAAATTTAGGACTTTATATTGAAGTAATTACTAACATTATTAACTAGTGTTATATTATATTTACAGAAATTCTTGCTGATAACTTTTTGAAAACATGCTCAAGAGTTGCCTTTCTTAAATCAACAATCTCTTTGTTTGCATTTGCAAGCGGTACCAGGCATTTTTTGATATTTTCTTCAAGTGACTCTTGAGAATCGAGACACTGATTAACTGCTTGTTCAATTTTGACACACAGACTTTCGAAAGTCGCCATTCTTGTTACTGAAAGAGGATTATAAAGACGGAATCAAGGTATATTAATGATTGGCTTTCACGATCTTTATATGGTAAAATGTAAGATTCTAGAAAACTAAATAACGATAAAAGAAGGAAAACTGAGAAAACAAGTGTATCATACGATTTTTGCCGAGTTTGAAGGAGATTAGCACAGCAGAAAAAAAAATCTGTATTAGTTTTGTATGCACCAATAACACGTGAGAGCCACGACTTTAGAGTTAAGGTTCCACTAAAAATTTTAAAAAACAACTGTAGTAATGTTATACAATATCAAAAATCAAAAGTGTTATCGTTATTAAACTTATTACTGTATTAAAACGAATTATTTAACGTGATTTGTTTTATTTTTGCTCATTTACTAGTTCATTACGAAAATGCAGTGTTCTGTTTCCCAAAGTTAAATGTGAGGCTTCTGCTTCAAATCTGTCGTATATTCATATGATCAATACTCATATAACCTGTCATTACAGTAACAGTGACTAATTTATTGACATGTTTTTTTAAGCCCACTCCATTTGCGTTGAAGTGTTTCGAAATAAGCCTCTCCATTTACAAAAATTCTAGGACGAACTAAAAATTTGCTCTTTCCCGAAATTTTCATTGGTTTTTCTAACGTTAAGAATCACCAAGTCGTTATCTTTGGTACTGTACTGAGATCCGGATAATTATCTTAGATGATCTATATATGACGAAGTTGAAAGAAGCGAGAAAATTTTTAATTATCTCAGAATTTATATAACAACCCTAGTTCGATAAGTGAGTAGTTACACGAATTTCATATTAATGGCGTACTAAAGGTGAATAATTGTAATATCAATTGATATTCTAAATTTTTAAATATTTTTCAATTAAGTAAAATGATATTAAGTTCGGGGAGATGGCCGAGCGGTCCAAGGCGCCACGTTAAGGCCGTGGTCTCGTAAGAGGCGTGGGTTCGAATCCCACTCTCCTCAACAGTAAATTTATTATTTTTAAAAATGGACCTTTTTTTCCTTTTTTTTTTTTTTTATTATCCATGATCAACGCGGACCCATGAACTCGTGATTTATGACACCCTTGTGAGCTAGAGTCGTTGGTTAAACTAAATTGAGCTGGTGAAACTGGTGACTATCTAAAAATCTGATTGGCTATTGTAGTAAGATTTTAGATAGTCACCAGTTTCACCAGCTCAATTTAGTTTCACCAACTACTCTAAATCATTTATTTGTCGTTGATCACTTGCATTAGAATTAGTGTTAACGTTAACGCATAATTATCGATCATATTTGATATTCTTATTTTCTTGATAAACTGAAACTGAAACGATTAAGCCCTTATAGATGGGCGGAAGTAGTCGTCACGAAAGAGACCGCGACTATTCAGAAGGAAGTTCTTCTAGAAGATCTCGCCAAGACGACTCTGGTAATGTGTCGAGTGGTACGGCCAGTGAAGTGGGAAGAGAATTTGCAAATCGTTACGGGGTAAGTTAGTTCAACTTTTTTTAAAAGACTGATCAAAAGAAAATGATTAAATAAATTAATATTTTGTTCGACAGGGGCTATTTTCTGAAAAAGATTGGAAATGTACAATGTAAATTTTTTACCATTTATAATAACTTTTTGTTTGTAAATAAGTATTAATACATTTTTGTAAACGCGTTTAAGTTGTTCCAATATAAATTGGGCTAGAAGAGCAGAATGCAATCAATGTAAAACACCAAAACCAGGTTCAGAAACTACTATGGGTTCAAGGGAAGGTCGTGGTGGAGGATTTATGGAGCGCGATGAAGTAGTAGAATACAAGAAATCAAGAGATGCAGAAAAAGACGAAGAATGGGACGAATTTGGTAGGAAAAGGAGAAAGAATAGAGATAGTGGAATTTATAATAATGGGAACGACAGTAAACGAGAATCGTATCAAGATGGAGAGAACAGTATACATAAACAAAAACCCAATATAGTTGATGATGAGGAGGAAGAAGATGAAGATGATGATCGGTGACTTGTTTTTTTTTAATTTATTTGCTGTAATTTTATTGCGTCATTGTAAATTTTTTTATGACTATTAACTTATGTGTAATTCAATCTTAATACAATAATTTATTATCAATATAATTTAATATATTCGCTAACTGGATAACGGAAGTTGGGCCGCATGGAATGATATTATTGGTAATGAAGACACAAAAGAGGAAAAAAATGAAAAAAAAAACAATCGAAATAGGTCAATTGATGATAGAGAACAGTCTAAAAAGCCAAGGTTATATAATCAGCACCGTCGACGTTCTTCACGGTCACGATCACCATGCCGTCGCGATCGTTCATTGTCGAGGTATAGGCGATCACGTCGAAGTAGCAGATAGTGGTTGGACCCGTCTGAAAAATCATGACCCGGGTAACCCACGGGTCACCCTGGTGGATAAATGATAAAATAAAAACCAATTCTTATAAAATTCTATCTTCTATAATTATAATATGAAATTGATAAAATATTTGATGAATTACACAAGAACTATACTAGAACTGATTCATAACATGCAGTATAATATAATACATTTCTAACTCTTTTTAAACAACTCAAGCGCCTAGTTACATTACCTAATTTTTTTATATGATATTTTTCTCTTTCTGCATATACTGTAACAAAATTATCATCTCATGAATATCAGATATTTTTCTCTTTCTGCATGTACTGTAACAATATTATCATCTCTTGAATATTATTATATGAAAGAATTTTAATTTAAAACTCAATTATAATCTATGAATACTATTTAAAAAAATTAATATGTCGACATAAATTGAAAAATGACGCGGAACACAGCCACAATGCACATAAAACTTAAGCCATCGCAGAAGATAGCTCAATTAATATCAATTCATATTAATAAATTAACGCACTACAGCCTAATTTTTTTTAATAAAAAAATTCATTTTTATTTATTAAAATTATTTTTTTACAGAAATAACTCAAAATTTAAATTAAGAAACCATCCTCTGCGACCTAATTAAAAGTGCTCCTCGTGAAATTTTACTAATAGAAACTTTCTTCCTAACTCTAGCCCCAAACTACAACGTTGAATTCTCAGTAAAAATTACAGGGGGAACCAATTTTTGTGAGTGTGCTACCTAAAGAGTTAAGCAACGTTGATCTCAACGTTAACCTAACGTTGACCTAAAATAACCAAAAGAACGCGAAGAAAGCATCACCAAAAGAACGACGAAGAGACCACTAAAAGAACGACGAAAGAACCACAAAGAAGTAACGAAAGAATACCAGAAAAACACCGAAAAAGTGACGAAAAGTGAGGAAAAAAGAAAAAGCGACGAAAGAAAACGTTGATCTAAAAAAAAAAGAACGCGAAAAAGTATTAAAAAGAACGAACCATCAAAAGAACGACCAAGAAACCACTAAAAGAACGACGAAAAACGACGGAAAAACTCCAAAAGAACGACGAAAGAGCCACAAAGAAGTAACAAATAAGCACCAAAAAACAACCTAAAAGCGACTGAAAAAAGAACGGGAAAAAAGCACAAAAAAACGACGCAAAAAAATTGGTCGCTAGGATCTTACAGGTAGACCCGTTACTTCTTACCCGGGTTGACGTAACTGCAATCCTTGATTTATGCAAAAAAAATTTTTTAATGTTGCTCTCGTCCAATAATATTATCACTGTATTATCGTGTGATCTTCGGTATTTTTTTTGGCCAATACTGTTGCCCCGAAAAATTTACGTGTCCTTGACCCGGGTGACGCCTATCCGGGTCCAACCACTAGTAGCAGATCTATTTCTCGAGACCGCATGGGAAGTCGATCAAAATAAGAGATCGAAATTGATAGTCGTTATTATAAATCACGAGAGCGAGATTTGGATAAGGAAAGGGATACTTACCAAAAAAAACAGCTAAAACTAATTTCCTGACCTGTCAGTTGGTTTTTTTTCAAATATGATTTTTATTAGATATTTAGATATTATGTAATTACTCATACAATATATATTTACAATTCATATGGCGTCCTTTTTTATTTGACCTTTAATGCGAAGGTTTCAAATCATTCGATTTATAGCTGATTAATAATGGAAGTACGAATTTTATTTTATTTGATGAATAATAAATGTATGAAGCCTATTAAAATAAAAATTCCATGAAAGTGCAAAAAAAAAAAAAATTTTTTAGATCCGACATTATTTTTACATTTTTTTTTTCTTAATACTGTAAATATGAAATGTGTCAAAAAGGCAATTTTTAAATACTTCAAATACTTCAAGAATGCTACGTATCAGTGATAATGACAAAAAAAGTATGTATGTAGAATTTCGGAGGAAGCCGATTCTCAGCATAATGTGATCAGTAGTCCCGCAGTCTAGTAATGTGAATAATAGTTGATCGGTAATCCGCATAACGTTTGGATATTAACATTATCTGAGGCCATAGCAATAATTCGTGCAAACAGATACATTTTTTTTTATTTGTTATTAGACTAGATATATTATCTTTCACCTATTCTAAAGATTCTCATTTATTACATTAAATAAACATTGGTTATCTGTTTCCATCTCTTCAATTGCAATTAATATTTGGGTATTTTGTGATTTACACTTGGAGTGAATTAAATAATTACTCGGATCCAAGGGGACGAAAGTGGATAAATCCCGAAGGGGAGAGTATGTTGTGCCTATTCATCTTAAGAGTTGACTTGTATAAGGAAATATATAGTATAGTCGTTTATTCTTTTCCGGTTTGCAGAAGAATTTTGATGTAAAATGCAAAAAAAATTGGTCAATTAACAAAGAAAAATAGGATCTTTTGCAGTATAGATGATACCATTAATAGAGTGTATTGATTTAGAATAGATGTCACCTATGCAAGAGATCCGAAAAATACGCGATACCTCTCCGTTGCTCAGTTCTTGGGACGTTTACGATCAGCTTGCACAAAAATATTTGGAATTATTAGTATTCTGGATGTTTACCATTCAGCTTCTAATCCAATTTTCAACCCCATCAAGTCAGCGAATATCTTTGAACACAGGCAATCGAGCAGGTCACCTGCGCCTTGTGGGACCAATGTTGGGGTCAACAAGCAGCTTTGTTTGTAGCTCAACGAACAGCTTTGAATGATAACAACCAAACAGGTTCCCGTCACGCCCCGGTTTCTACTTACGTACGCAAGACATTTAAGATACCTATCTATCTTTTGTTTGAAGAAGCTCTCTTAGCATTCATCAAAAAACAATGATATCCCATTTACAAGGCTTACTTCGAAATACCTGAACGCTGCTAAAACAAGTAGGTAGAGTAATTGATTAGGCGATTCGTTGAAATCGTAAAGACGCGTTATTTCTGTCAAAAAAGTTACATTTTTGATTTTTTAGATTACCTTTTTGATACAGATATGGCTGATAGGTTATTAAAATATCAAGAAGACAATTTATGCAGTATGTAAATCAATATCCATAGGAAGACTTCGTATGATTGGCTGATGTAAATCAATTGCCTGGGTAACTTATTTATACGATTTAAAGTATATACTTTTTTGAGAACGTAAACGTTACACTTAAATGAAACAAAAATTCGGACAATGAATTATTTGTCACTCACTCACTGTGACAGTTAAAGCATGAAAAAAATGAGCTTGAATACTAAGGGGATAGTCTAATTCCATACGCTTACTTTCTATATCAGATTTGTATTTAGAGAAAATCGAAATGTCAGAATATTAATTTATTGTTATACAAACTAGCATTTTTTGGAGTGAAAAAGAGACAAACCCGTTTAATCTATTAACTGCAAGATTTCGAAGCAAGTCTACATCAAGATCCGAATATCATGATCGTAGACATTAGAAACAATCATTGTACCTAGGTAGGGTCTTTATCAGAAATATAAAATAATTTATCCGGGTAATCCGGATATTTTATTAGCATTAAGAAAAATAATTCATCAACGATCAAAGGAAAAAAATTCATTATCAAGTACCCGTACCCAACTTACCCGAGCGATCCAACTTGTTTCACACTCCAGGACTGCAGTTCCACCATACCATTTATACTAGTAACTTACCAGATGTATTAATTTAGCAAAGTATAACTGGCACGGTCTTAATAGCATTAACGTTTAAAAATCTGGGCAATATCACATGTCATATAGTCCCTTAATTTAATTCAAATTTTGTCATCAAAAAAATTTACATTGAAAAGATGACATTATTATTAACATTATTAAACGACGCCTGTACAACAGTCATTTTAGAGTAGAGTAAACAATTTAAACAATTTTACAAAAAAAAACAAATCTTTAAATAGCCTATTCAAAGTACCTTTTATATATGCAGTCTTTACAGTAAATTCAATAAAATAAATTTTTTTTTTTTTTTTGACACAATACGTGGCTCGAATATGTCACTCAAACTAAATCCGGGAATTCCTCATTGTCTAAACAAATTGGTTGCACTACCCAAAGTCCGACAGACCCTATTGTCATTTAAACGTGTATATATGTGTATATATGATATATATATATGTTGCGTATATATATATTTGGGTAAAAAAAAAAAATAGCAGCTTCGGAGATTTCGATCTTTTTCCGTTTCAAGCAATGAGTCAGGAACCTGAAAATACTTCTGATTTTAATTCTAATCAAGTTAATGATGCTGATTCTTACAGAGACAACCAACCTAGTTTACCTCACACAGACTCTCAAATATCCCAAGCATCGACCATTACCGGTATGGATCAGTACAGCGGGATTGAAGACGATGATGAGATTCATAAGGACATTAATAGCGACATTGATAATAAGTTAGATGATAAGTTAGATGAGTTAGTTGACCTTCGAGTTAGTGGCTCTTCATATGACCCTCTCAGGGCATCTGATAACGAAGAAAATCACAAAGAGGAAAATAGCAAAAGAAAAGACGAAAAAGAAAAGGAAGAAGAAGAGGAAGAGGAGGAAGAAGATAGTGATGACAACAAAGGTTACAGTAAAAGAGAAAGTGACAGAGGGTATTATGACGAACATCATAAGTCATTCATTAATGGAAGTCAACCGTTTTACAGTAGCAATGGATTATTTAATCACGATAACCATGAATCTGCGGAGGATATTGAAATGATGAATAATGGTTCATCACGATATGAATCTGATAGTGAAAGTGGTCCACAATCAAGTAAGCGAATTAAAAGAAAAAAGCTGGACGAAATCTTAAGGCGTGAAGACGGAGAGGCTGATATGGATGATGAAACAATGACAGATGCTGATCAAGAACTAGAACAAGAGACTGTCTTTCCTCCAATACAAGAGGGTTTGTGTGTTGAATGCCGAGATCAGGTAAACATACGTTATTATCTACGCGTCTATGGACTTTATCATTCCAATTTCTGTGTTTTCTTATTAACATTTGTATATACATTCTTAGGAAGCTTCATTCTTCTGTGAACAGTGTAATGAAGACTTTTGTGAAGTATGTTTTGCCATGATTCATCGCACAGGAAGTCGGCGGAATCATACCAAAAAAAATCTGAAAAATGAACAAAGCAGTGATACACTAGGAAATAGCTCACAAGGTGTTGAACCTGTTTCGAAGCAAACTTCTAACGGTTATACGAGTTTTGAAGTAAATACACTACATTCTGTTTAAACGCATATTTATTTTCAATGCTTAAATTCTCATTCAATATATTATCTTGATAGGAAACGTCTTTTGACGATCCGGATGTTGAATCCAAAATGACTTCATTTGGCTCATCAAGAGACGATATGGCATCCGGAAAACGCTTAGTGGAACGTTCTAAATATATTCCCATTCGACTGAATATAGAAGAACGAAAGCTTCTTAGATTGTATTTATCTTTATTTATATTTTATATTAATTTTGTTAAATCGATTTATTAAATCGATTTTGTTTGAAAACAATTATACTTATCATTAAATATAATTCTATTTACTAATTTTTAGATTAGAAGCTGCCCTTAATGTTTCCGGTAAAATTTTTGCTTTATTTTGTTTATAAACTTGTATCCATAATTAGTATTTTTAACTCGATTTCAATTAGAATATACGGACAAAATTGATATTCTATCACCTTACAACAAAAAAAACCGTATCATTCTACAGATCAAAGAACTATGTAGCATTTTATCTGGCTTAGTCGTAAGTATATTTAAATTAATTCTCATGAATTGGTGAGGTTTCACTGTATATATAGTATATTAAATAAATATATCGCTTCAAATTATGATTGTTTCAGGTTGCAAGGTAAATATAAATTTCTGTATAATGTGTGCATATATGTATTCGTTTATTACGAATTTAACTAGTTGTTAATTTAGCGACTATAAAAAAGGCCAAGAAATGTTTGCGAATAAGTCATATGAAGAAAACGAAGAATTCTATCAAAATATTTTTGAGATAGGGCGACGACACAAAATAATGAACCCTGAAAAAATGAGAGATGCTTATGGAAAATTAATGTACATGTTAATGGTATGATAAAGTTTTATAATCTTATCCTAAGTTGTATATTGTTTCTATTGTTTATTTTAAAATGAACCATATAGGATTCGATGATACCTGAAGTTCAATCGATGCTCTCTTTTAATTTGGTCAAACCTATAAAAACTGTTTACAGTTTTCTTGAGGAGCGAGGTGGTATTGATTTGCTTTACGATGAAAGAGTTGCTATCGCTACCAGAGAAATTAAGCCAGAGGGAAAGTCGAGATATCAAATAAATTCTGAAATCAGACAAAAAGAAAGGGCTGTTGAAACAATAAGCCGTAAATATGAAACTTTTAAACTATCATCCGACGACATAAAAATGTGTTTATATAGCATTGGTGATAACAACTCATATTTGAGGGCAAATCGGTAATTATTTTTTACAAAAAATATAATGTTATTTATTGAACCTTTAGATCAAAAACTAAAAAAAAAAATCCATTTACATAGTGATTGCTGTGATCGTATGCTCAAAAATTTGATAAATTATTTTAATCCAAGAAGGGTCGAAGATGGTTACTCATTGGCCATTCGTTCCGGAAGCAATGGCGCACGTCTCACTCACAATCATGAGATGCAATATTGTTATGCGTGAGTGTTTAAGTGAAACTTTTTTTGGGAGATAACTTATTGAACCCACGTCTCATGGTTATTTTTATTGCATGAATATAGTAATCAAACATTGTCCCTCTGGAGTGAGATTCAGAATGAAATGTTTATGCTTTGGTTTTTAGCCGACCATGATATGCTATCAGATTCTAATATCTATAGATTACGAGACACCGGTCAAGGCTTGAATAGAGTTCAAAATTGTCCAGCTGTTTCAAAAGCAATGCACACGATTCTACATCGTGCTCAACAAAAGGCAGGTCATTGGGTTGGAAGTTCGGTTATTCATCTAGGTGACAAGAACGTACCAAATGCACTCATGTTCATCGATAAGGTTTGTGGATGAAATTCTAGGGTATTATTATTTTATGTATTATATTAATCTAAAAGTTGTTCCATATTAGTATAATCAAGTATCACGTATATTAAATCCAATATTGATATGTCTCGATAATATCGAGCCTTTGGTTGGAAAAAATCCCGGTATCCGAACCTATATTTCGAATTCTTTTGGAGGTGTCGAGGAACTCACTAAAAAGATCCTCGCCGACTTTTTCCGATATGCTTTTGATGGCAGTGGGGCTGACAATTTCTTTGACGCTGGAAGTTGCATTGATGGACGCTTAACAAGTGCCTGGAACTGGTGCTCATTAATCGAAAAGAAATCATATTTCCCTGTGTTTTTATTGACGGTATGTATGAGATTTCTTTTTGTTTATGATATAATTGTAGACATTTATTTATATGCTTTTCCTTATTATGCAAATAGGGATTTGTCGGTTTTGATGGGGAAGGTTTTTAATATTATAAGATATCGGAGATATCTATTCAATAAATCGCTTTTTTTTTTGTGATTGTGAATAAGCCACAGAAAAGAAAAAAAATACATAATATTCATTTATAAGCAGTCATTAACAGGTTATTCACCTGTCCATTGGTCTTTTCTATTAACAATGGGAGCTTGTTCTCCAACTACTACATACAAAGTTGTGATTATTACTAATTTAAAGAAGGAACTAAAAATATAAAAGTTGATAGATTATAGATGGAAGAAAGAACATAGGTTGGGTGTAAACGATAATTAATTATGGTTTTCTCGGATTTTTTTTATTTTTTTTAAGTAAATTAGTTAGTGTAGTGCGATGGTAATGGAATTAAATGTTTAACAAAATTTAGAAAATCTCATATTTGAAGTTTACATATTTGTACAATACTTTCCATTCTTGACTTTTGATATTTTTTACATTTGATTCCATAGTAAAATTTGTAACATAACTTGAAATTATATTAACGATAATTTAAATATTAATAGTAGAATTGACATTTTGGTGGTTACAGAAAATATACCTGAAACAATAGAATTTCATTGTTACTTGAAATGGGCGATTAAGTGACCCATACTCGATTTAAAAATTTAATAAATAATAATAATAATAAAACCAGTTTTTTAATTTAACTACAGGTTAATATTACATTGAATTTTTATTTAATTATTGTGTACGTATACGTACAGTATATATTTCAGTATATATTTACAATTATGTCGTATATATATATATGTATGTATGTACTGTACATACATACGTCATAGTAGGGTGTTCAAAATAATAGGTAAATCAAATCATAGTCGGGGTACATATGTGAGGGTTTTTTACCGGTTTTTTAAATAATTTCGGAAATTTCGGAAAATTAACTAACCTATTATTTTCTCTATTTATCGAACAACTCATTAACGTTGACGTTAAACAGCTTAAACAGCAGAAAATTTAACTTTCACTTATTATTTCCTTTATTTATTGAACAAGTCCTTAAACAGTATATCAGCTT